TCTCTGAAATGTGTTGAGTTTCTGAAAACAATCATTTTGGATGTATTCTCTTTGGTACCCTAGCAGTGCAGAAAGAAACATCTAATGAAGCATGTTCAGAGTCCAAGAGACAATTTTTCTTTCCCAAAACATGCTTAGCCAATAAATAAGCAGATACACATCACCAGCTCAAAAGTAAGGCGATACAGGGCTTGAGACAGAAGAAAGACAAACATTGGGAATGAAACTGCAATCCAGAAAATGAAGTCCATCCCCATAACGAGCACTTCCTGACAGTGTTATGTAGTGAACATGTATCATTATAAACCTCTCCTTTACAGATAAAGTCAAGAAAGAGGAAAGAATGAATGCATGAAATTCAGATAAAAATAAATTACTGATTATTACTTCTCCTACTTTGGAGAATTAGCTAGAAGACAATGGTTTTGATCTACTTATGCTTTAGTAGCCAGATGGGAGAGAAGGAATGAAAGGAAAATAGGTCATCGAGTATTCAGGAAGTAAACTCATTCAGTTATGAATTCTACATGGCCAGATCAATTACTTCTAATACCTATCACCTACGAAAGCAAGATTTGAATTATCAGCTTTGATGTACTAAGCCTTCCGTGCACTACAAAATCTTGTTTAGCCTAGGAGTGCTACTCCTCTCCCTTAGTCTTGGATTTATGTGTGGCCACTTGATTACTACAGTAATTTTTAAAATGTTAAGAAAGAAAAACACAGGAAGAAATTTTTTTCTAGTTAATTGTAGCACTTTGCTGTCCCTTCCTTCCCCAGGAACTTAACTCTGATTCATCTCTCAGATGCAGAATCTGATTAGTATAAACAGCAGTTACCAGGGTCATCATCTAATCACCGACTCAGTAGATATAGACTCATATATACAATATATGTTCACATACACCACTTTCCCTTGATGGAAGATAGTCACAAGTGAATTTCTCTCACAACCCAAGTCTCATTCAATGGATAAATTCAGTCTGGCGGTTTGCGATTCAGTTTGGATGGAGTACGAGAGCAGAAGAAAGAGGAATGGGCTCAGTTAACAATTGTCTTCGCTTTCGTTGGGACTAGAAACAAGAAGGAGTGAAAAGGCAGAAGGAAAAAATGGTGAAATATCTTTGAGGGGACTCATAAAAAAGTGGTAACTACAAAAAAAGTGAGTTTCTTTAAACTAGGGACAGACAAAATTTGTTTTATAAAGGAACAATATGTAATGATGCATCAATATGTCTCTGCAAGCTGGAAAACACATGACTAGATGCTCACAAATATCTACTGAAAATATGTTACTATATACATACTAGCTGTACTCTGTAGAGCTAACTCCATCTTCATCAGGATATGCCACCTCACCTCGAAAAATAACACTATGCTTCAGTTCCACACCTCCAATATTTGATTATTCCCCCTTCTCTATCAAAAGCCCATCAGCAATCAAAGTAAAGTAGGGTATAATAGTAGGTCATCAACTAACTCTGAACAGTTAAAAAAGGAGTATTTCTATCACATATCCATCCTAGAGACTAAGGGAGGGAAAAAAAAGCAGCCATATTATAAAAGTATGTGATTCAGCAAACCCTGGGCTAAATTACATTGAATTTGTCATTAAAAGCAAGTTAGAGGAATTGATGGACTCTGGTGAATATGCTAGCTCCTGTTTTTTCTTCAAGTTCGATTTTCTTTTTTAGTTAATCTTATCTATCACAAGACAGCAGAGCTAATTTTACTTAGCAAAAAGAAAGAAGGAAGAAGAAAGGACAACAGAGGAGTAAAATGCTGCCTGCATTCAAAATTCTTTAAGTAGTATAACACAGTCCATTAAGTATGGTTGTTTCAAGATACCATATAGTACATTTTAATCTGATACTAAAGCAAGAACATAAGAAGCCAGCCATACTGTAGCCCATTTCCTTACTGATATTACAATGCAGCTGAAGACATTTGATATATGAATTCCATCTCATTCTCTTACTGGATAATATGTTCCACATTAAAAAGGAAGCAAACTGCATTCCTCAATATTTGCTCAGCAATATGCCAAATGAACTGGCAGAAAGAAAAAATTACTTCTGCTCTTAAGTAGGGTGGATACTATTCTTAGGTTATCTGAAAGACTGTCGGTGCAAAAGCACTACAAGGAGTTCACAAGCAGAAAGAGGTGGGGACTGAAACCACACAGCATCATAGGTTCTCATTCAAAACCATACCTTGGACAACTGATGATGGACATGGCATGCTGGAGCCAACAGTTCCAGTTACATAACGCAGGTAAGGAACTTCAGGCCAGCTTGCAATGGATAGCCAGACACATGCTGTCACACAAATCAGAACTGAAGCCAAAGAGCAAGAATCAAGGAACACTCCATATCCGTATCCTATCTTGGCAGATAGAAAATTAATTCAGGAAGTAAGACAAACTTTTATCCCATAGCATGTGAGTCACAGAATCACACAATGGGTAAGGTTGAAAGGGGCAACAGTGGGTCATCTGGTCCAACCTTGCTGTTTAAGCAGGGTCATTTCAGAGCACATGGCACAGGATTGCGTCCAGATGGTTCTTGAATATCTCCAGTCAGGGAAACTCCACAGCCTCTCTGGGCAATCTGTTCCTGTGTGCAATCACCCACACAGTAAAGAAGCTCTTCCTCATACTCCAATAAAGAAGTTATTTCTCATATTCAGGTGCAACTTCTGTGCATCAGTTTCTGCCTGTTGTCTCTTGTCTTACCACTTTGTACCACTAAGAAGAGCAAACTCTTGACATCCTCCTTCCTTCAGATACTTATATACATTGATAGGGTCCCCTCTCAGTCATCTCTTCTCCAAACCACCTGTCACATCTCCAAAGTGTCTTCCTTCAGGACATGGTATAAGACAGGTGGTTGTACTCTCATTCCCAAAACTGACATAGGGCCACCATGCAGCACAGAGAACAGAAATTAGACATAAAAGAGGGCTCCTTCATACAGCTCTCGACAATTCCAAACCATCAAAGCAGGTTTTCTGAACTCTCAAAACTCATGACCAGTTCTACTACCCTACATGCAACAATTTACTGGCTAATATATAGAAAATAGTCAAATAAGAGGAAGGATGGTTACAGGCAGTTCATTACATCTAGACAGAAGTGCAGCTCCTAGGAAGAATTATTTTTTGTGTTATGTCTTATTTAAAAACACTATTTCCTGACCAGGAAAAGACAAGTCATCCTTGTTCTGCAGCTAAATTCCTAAATATGACAAAATTCTCTTTGTACTTACAGTAATTAATGCAAAATCTAGAGTTCACTTAAAAATAATTAATTAGCAAGAGCAATATTTATTTTTAGGTATCAAGTCAATTTGTCAATCAGTCTGTTCATTGCTCATAGTTAAATCCCCAACAGTTTTATTTCTGCATTTGCCGCACATCAGTAACCTTTTTTCATAGATTTTCTTAATAAAAATAATTAATACAGTAGTTGTTTTCAAAGCAGTTCCTACACTTAGTTACTTAGATCCGTGAGAACTTCTAAATGCTCAGTATCTTCTGCAATTGATGGCCGCAAGCTGCAACTTAGAAGCTGATTAAGAAAATTTAATCAAGTGGAGGGCAACGCAGAAGTACAGCAGGTCACACAGAGAGGTTGTGAGATCTCATCCCTGGAGGCTTCTGAGCCTCCTGCTTGAACCTAGATTGATATCAACACTACATAAAGCCTGCTTTGGCTTTGTCCAGTGGGAAGTCACACTTAGAAGTATCCAGATGTCTCTTCAAAATATATGTCTCTTCAAAATATAATTTCTATGATGATTCCATGTTCGGGTAGGGAATTTCCAATGAGTTGAAAATTTTTATTTCAGATTTTCTTTGGCTTTGTGCTTACAAGATGTCTCTACTCAGGCTCCAGAGTTTAAGTACCTAATACTTAATAAAAACAAAATAATCTTCCAGAAGCAATCTTATTATTAGTACCACGTTGCCACATTAACTTGTCTGAGAATTTGCTAAACACAATTACCTACAGCAGGCATACTTCAGATACCCCCAAACATTTAGTATTGGATTTTACAAACCCGTAGACATATGGAAGTATCAAGATCATAAAAGCAAAGTACAATTAAATATTTTTTGTGTCCTATCACTATCTTCTAGAAAGTGATATAGAATGGGGGTTTTGTTTGTTTCTTTTGTTTTGGATTAGTTTGTTTACAGAACTGAAAGCAAAAACCCAATTTTTTAGACCAAACATTTCAAGAACCAAGCTTTTAAGTAGTTATCTGGAAATGTAGTGCCTTAATCCAAAACTTTAGGTATTCTACTTATTCAATAGGTCAAAATTAAGAGAGAATAAGCATAAATACCTACTACGCAGCTGCCAGTTCTCAAAAGCTTGTCTTTCACGTACAAGACATAGAGAATAACTTAGGTCAACCTTCATTAAAAGGTCATTCTCACCACAAACATGCATGTTGATTGTTTCTATGTGCAGAGAGCAAGCTCAATAATTCATGAAACAAAATAGTTTTCTCGTTCCCCAGTGTTTTATGGCTTAATTTGCTCGGGTTGGGTACAGACGGTCAGAACGCGACTCGCAGGAGGCACTTCTGGAAGGTTTAATCCCACCCATCAGGCACCGCTGAGAAGCAGGAATGTATCCTCCACCGCAGAACGGCCCCAGCGCGCCCGCTCCCTGCGCTTCTGCGCCCTTCGCACAGCGACTTCGAGCGCAACTCTAGAAACTTAAACGACTTCACCCCTAGTGACTGATGGATTTCTAGATAAAGGGTGTGTTTAGGGCAAGGCGGGCTGACACGCAGCCCGGCACCGGCCGCTCCGGCAGCTCCCCGCGCCGTGCCCGGCCGGTGCCGCGGCCCCGCTCTACCTGTTGCGGGCCGGAACGCCAGGGCGAGGTGGCGCGACACCGGCGAGCGGAGCGGGACGGATGGCGCGGGATGGCCCGCGGGGGGCAAGCGCACACGGCGGGGCAGGGGAGCGGGGAGGCTGGGGCTCACCTTCTGCTGCCGGCGGGCCATGTCCGTGGGCTGCTTGGCGTTGAAGGGGTGCGCGATGCACCTCGCGATGAACACGTAGAGCTGCAGCCGGAGCCGCTTCTCCCGTTCCTCTCGCTGTAGGCGCTCCTGCTCCTCCCGGCCCTCGCTCAGCACCGAAGGGCTGGGGCTGGCTGCCCGCGCCGCCCCGGCCTCCCTGCCCCGCGAGTCCCGGGGCGCCGGCGGCAGCGAGCGCGGCGAGCCGCCGCCCGCCGCCACCAGCACGTCCCGCCGCTCCTCTTCCAGCAGCTCATCGGACTCCTCCTCGCTGGAGGAAGGGTCCAGCATTGCTCTCGGCGGGCGCGCCCCGCGGCCGGGCACGGAGCGAGGCGGGGAGCGGCGCGCACCTTTCCGGACACGTCGAGTTTACACACGGACTGTTTCCGACCGGCGGCGGCCGCCGGGCGGGAGCGGAGGGGCGGGGAGGAGAGGCGGGGTTTGGGAAGGGGGTCGAGCCTGGGTTGTCGTGGGAATTGCTCCGAGCGGCTCCCGGCGGAGGCAGAGGCGGGACTGGGGCCGGGCTAACATCTCCGCCCGCCCCGGCGAGCGCAGAGGCCCGCGAGTGTCTGGGACGGGGTCGGGCAGGCTGCGCCGGGAGTGCTGCAACAGAGTACCTGCTAGCGCACCCCAGCACGCGGCTCGGCACGGCTCGGTTCGCCTACCCTGCTGCCAACGACAGGGCAGCCGCTGGCCAGGGAGCCCTCGGCAGCGCTGCTCCGCTCGGGCCCTGCCGGCCCTGGCCGCGGCTGGCGCGGTGCTCCCTGCCCCACGTCCCGGCCAGCGTGGGAAGCGCGCCCGCCGCTCGCCAGCCGGCTCGGACACACGGCGGGACCCCCTGCTGGAAGGGCAGAGCGAGGCTGTGCTCGCCGCCGACCCCGAGCCTCGCTGGCATCCTCTGACAAGCGTTGGTGGGGGAATGAGAGGCATCTCAAATGGCCCTTCAGCTGATGCTGAAGTGTACACTGCTCTCGCAGGTTACTTCTGTTGAGAGCTTGCAGCCACAAATAGGGAGTTCACATCTCTGAAATTGTTTTTCTAGACTATCTGAAGTTCCGGTTACGTGCATAGTCTCAGTGGTTGTTGTCACAGTTAAGGCTGTGAGAACCCTACAAAAGCCTACCACTAGCACTCGCTAAAATTAAGCAAAAATGGCTTCACCATGTGAGAGCCAAGTTTCTGGAGTCTGATCAGTGTCTCCTGGGAAGGCAGGCCGGGGAAGGGAAGGGACATCATATTTTTTGTGGATCAACATGTCCTTCTCTCACTCCCTACATACCCACAGGTGATGGTGCTGGTACCAGGGAGGACAAGGGAACTACTGAACAAGGAAATACCAAGGGCTAGTAGGACAGAGACTGGAGGGGTGGACAGGCAGACAGAAACACCATGACTCTGTATGCAGCTCTAAAACAATGTCAGCTGGGGCTGTGTCCACACTGCTCCAGGCCCTGCTCATTAGCAGTGGCAAGTTTTCAAAGCCCTGTATGAAAACCCAACAAACTCAGGCAGCCAACCCAATTCTCACCGTATGAACTGAGCCGGCTATAGAGTGATGAAGGACTCTAGTCCATTATCAATGTTTTGAAGTGCTGCAAATTTAGGAAAGGATCTTTAAAGCTGTCAGTCACCTCCCTAGTGAACCAGTTCTCAGAAGGTGGAATTCTTCCTGCTGTGGGCAGCAACTATTAGCTAGATGGCAGTATTAGGCATTAGGAGTCTGAATTCTTCTGCCTCTGGATTTTAACATGGGGAATGAGGGGAGCTCTGAGGGAGAGTCGTGCTACCAAATACATTGGCTTTCTTCGCACTTTGGGTACAAAGTGTAGCAGTCATACAGAAATAGGTGGGCTGTTTTTATGGATGGCTTATGTCCTTAACATTAACAATAGTAGGCAAATTCTGTGAAATGCAGAAAGGTAGTCAGGGAAAAGCATGAATGTCAACCTATTGAACAACTCTGGTCACATTTCCTCAGCGAAGTAATCGTTAAAGCCAATTCTTATGGAACCACCGTCACCAATCACGTGCCAGTGCTTGTGTCTCCATGGCAAGTAGTGCTAGTCCTGTAGTAGATGAGGGATAGTTCCATAAAAAGCATGGTTACTGTAAATTACTTTTTCACTAAGAGGAATAGAATTTCCTCTCAGATTTGTGGATGTCTTTTGCTTATTCTAATAGCAAATTTTTTTTGATTCTAATAGCAAATAAAACTAAAGTAACACTAAAAAAAATCTTGCTACTGAAGATATGCAAAGAACAAATTGGGATATGAATTCTATGAAACTTTAAAGCAGTCAAGTCTCAGACAATTTTAAATGTTATGGCTCAATCCAGCAGTATTGTCGCTGAGCTACTGCTGCATTAAGGCTGGGATGATCATGTCATACATAACATTACATGATTCTTCCTTTTAGAAAAGGCTATGGTTGCTCCACTAGCTGCCTGAACCTTTATGGAGGGGAGAGGTCTCTCTTACTTTCTTTCACACTTTATATCAGAATTGTTAAGATAGACAGGAACCCTCTGAGCAGATTGCCCAGGGCTGAGTCCAATCAGATTTTGAACGTCTGCAAGGATAGAGACTCCACAATCTCCCTGAGCAATTCATGCCCATGTTTGACCACCCTCACAGTAAAAAAAACTTTGTCCTTTGTCTAAGCAGAATTAATTTCCTGTATTTCATTTTGTGCTTGTTACTTCTTCTCCTTCCCAGGGCATCACTGAGAAGTGTCTGGCTCCGTGTTCTTTATTCCCCTCCATCAGGTATTTATAAATTGATAAGATTCCCCTGAGCCTCCTCTTTTCCATGCTGAACTATTCCAGCTTTCTGAACCTCTCCACATTTCTCACATGCTCCAAATCATTAATGACCTTCCTGACCTTTTTCTTGCTTCAGCATGTCCACATTTCTCTTGTATCATGGAGCCCAGCACTCTGGATGTGGCCTGTCCGGTGCTGAGGAGAGGAGAAAGATCATACCGTGATCTGCTGGTGGCACTCGTTTTAATGCAGCTCAGGATGCTGCTGGCCTTCATTGCTGCAAGGTTGCATTGCTGGCTCATGTTCAGCATGGTGTCCACCAGAACTTAAATCTTTCTGAAAAGCTGCTTTCAGGAGCCAGCCCCCAGCCTGCACCTGTGCATAGAGGTTTTCATCCTTTAGGTGCAGGTCTTCACAATTCCCTTTTTCGAGCTTCATGAGATTCCTGTTTGCCATTTTCTCCACCTTGTTAAGTCATACAACCCGAACAGTCACACAATCATGTGGTGTATCAAGTACTCATCCTAAGTTCATGGTGTCTGCAAACTGTCAGAGGGTGTGCTCTGTCCCATCATCCAGTTCATTAATGGAGATGTTAAATGGCATTGGTCACAGCATCAATCCCTGAGTAGAACACTACTGATGGGCTTTCAGTTGATCTTTGTGTCAGTGGTCACAAACTTGTAAGCCAGGCAGCTTTGTGTTCCCACCTAGTCAGCCTGCACTTCATCAGTTTGTCTATTAATATTTGCTCTTCAATTTGCCCAACCTCAGCACAATTTCTATACAGTTGCACTCACTCAACTGCATTTTTCTCTACCTGGTCATTATATTCCGCCTTACATAGTTTGTGGAATATATTATTCTAAACAAAATGGTGTTAAGAACTGGATTGTTCTTTTTTATATGGCAATGAAATTAGGATATTGTTGTTAAGGTTTTCTATTTAGGAGATAAAAGAAGCAATAAAATAGCTAGTGATGAAAAAATCAGTTTTGAATTGATGTAAGATTTTTTCCCAAGATATAAAAATTATAGCTATGTTTTCAAATACTTTATTTGAGAAAATATGTGGCTGAAATTAAGGCATATAAGAATGTATTTATGCTTAGTAAAGATTTCATAGTACAGAATCAGTGCCTTGTAATTCACCTGTAGCTGTCTTTTGGTCATAAAATTCATTATTATTTTGAGGCTCAGTAATGAGTTTTAGTTTCGTGCATAGCATTGTCATTTTAGACACTTCTTGTGCTATTTTTCTATAATGTTTTGGTTTACCAAACTATGTGATTAAGCACGAATCTCACTTTATGTTATTTGTAAGCAGGTCATAGCCAAAGCCAGACATAATAGTGATGTTTCTAGGGTGCTTTGTAATTGTTTTTTCATGAGAATATACCACACCAGGCTGCACTTTATGGTGGGTGTACTGCTTCACCCTTCCCCTTACCCACTGTGACCTCCTTTGTATACAATGAACTCGTGGAGAGAAACTGGAAAGCATGACAGAATATTTCCTCAAAAGTACAAAACCTAAATGTAAAGTAGAAAAATACAATTTTTAGTATATTTAGGAGATTTCTTTTTTTAATAATAAGATGGTTAAGTTGAGCATGTATTGTTTTGTGTTCTTGCTGACAGCTTCTGGAGGCATTTATTGACACTCTTGTCCATTTTATGTATGGTCTTTTGCCTAGGGGCCCATGGTATTGTTAATGTGGATTTGCAGTCTGCTTGGAAGAATATAAGTTTGAAAGTTCAGAAGATATTACATTATTTTCCTGATGATCTGTGTACAATAGACCTTCAGAAAAATTAATTTTTCATAATTTATGTACTACTAGCACTGTAGTGCTCACCTATATGGTATGAGAAGTTTGTGCAGAGCTGATATATTTTCCAGCCCTCCATCTTTTCTGTAGAAAATTAACTTAATCCTTTGTGAAGGGTTTGCAGGAGGTGGCTAAAATGTCTGCTGGTTTCATTTCTGGAAATTTATTACATTATATATTATATTCTATTCTAATTTTTTATCTATAATATTAATTAATTTCATTTCAGGAATGCATTTCTCCTAGAGGCATGTCAAATGGTACCTCTTTATTAATGTTAGGTGTTCTGTGCAGATTCAAGTATTTGGATGGGAATTTGTAGAAAGAAATCACTAGATATTGTGGTGTTGATCCCATACAAAATGGCTAGTGGTAATAACTGACTTGCAATGAACAGAGCTCTTCAGATTGTGTTGACAAAATAGAGCTTTCCTTGAAAACCAGGCTTGCCACCAATTTACTTCATAGTGGGTCTCACTATAGCACAATTCAGTTTGTGGGACTCTGCATAAACATCCAAACAAACAACTTCTTTTGTCCATCTCTCTCCCTGAAAAGATAGTATTTATTTCTTTGGTCCTCTCAACCAGACAAGCAAGTGGCAGAGCATTCACAGGCTTAGAAGATGGGGAGGTTGCACTCTTGCAGCCACCATCACACTGTTACTCTGCTTCAAAGTCTTTCTTGTTCACTGCA